TCCCCATCCTCCCCATCCCCCCAAGCCTCTCTCTCCTCAATCTCCCTCTCTCTGTCTCTCTCTCTCTCTCTCTCTCTCTCTCTCGCTGTCTCTGTTTCTCTGTCTCTTGCTGTCTCCCTGTCTCCTTCCTGTCCACGCCCCTCTACAGAAAAAGGGTACCCTAATTCGAACCTCTCTACTCTCTCACTTTCTCGCTCTTCTCTCTCTCTCTCTCTTTCTGTCTTTCTGTGTCTCTCTTTCTCAGTCTCTCTCTCTCTCTCTCTCTGTCTCTCTCTCTGTCTGTCTCTTTCTCTGTTTCTCTAATTCTGGCTCTGTCTCTCTCTCTCTCTTTCTCACTCTCTGTGTCTCGCTCTCTCTCTCTCTCTCTCCCTCTCTCTCTCCCTCTCTCTCTCCCGCTCTCTCCCTGTCTCTCTCTCTCTCTCTGCATTGCAGCGTTACGTTCCCCCTGAGTTGCCTCGATGTCCGGGCACTGCCCCTGCATGACCCTGAACTATTGTCTCGCTACTGGCTTTCCCCTTGATTTCCCCTTCATGTTCTTTTCACGTTTCTCATGATGTCCTGGTCCTTTCCCTTCCATGCCTTTCAACTCCCCCTTCATGTCCCTGTCATTTTCTCGGTATGTCCGCTTCATTTTCCATGTATGTCCCGTTCTTTCGTTGCGAGTCATTTCCCTACATCTCCCGTCGTGCCGATTGGTTTCCTTGTGCTTTGTTTCCCTTTCATTCCCCCTGCACTCCCTTTGTTTTCATTTCTGTCCCTTGCATGTCCCTTTCAGTTCCCCTTTGTTTCCCTTTCATGTCCCGCTGCTTTCCTGTCATGTCGACTTCCTATTTCCTCCCCTCATTTCCTTGCACTTCCTTGCATTTCCCCTTTGCTCCCCAATATTTCCCGCAAAAAAACACGGTGTTTCCAGCTTTTTCGCAACTAGGACGTCCAAAAACACAGAGTTTTTCCAGATTTTCGGCAAAAGGAGGCAGGAACCCCAAACCAGCAAAGAGCCGGCAGTGGGAATCGAGCCTGGGACCCCTGTTTTGCGACACCGGCTCCGCAAAGACTACGTTTAGTGGAACATCATCAAATTGACGCGCGGTCCTTTGGAGGGGGGGGGGGCCCACGTATCAGACGTCGGGCGGGGGGGGGTCATCCTCTATCCTCTCTTAGGTGTCCAACACGCCGAGCAATGTCGGCGGATTTGTCTCATTGGGGCCTCAGCAAATCTCAGTCAGCTTTGCTGGCTTGGAAATCGTGTGTATTGGTTTTGTATTGATTTGTATCAGTTTAGAATTGGTTGAGTATTGATGATTAGCAGGGCTTGGGGCAGATGCTTCCTCCAGACCCTTGGTTTGACATCCACTTTTCACCGAAATGACAAACGTCATCATGTTCTGAATCTACACTTCTTCTTCCTTTGTCAGCTCGGAAAGTTGTTATTGGACAACTGTTCTGTATCGACTACCCATTGATTATTTGCTATCCGGAATTAAGCTAGGCGGCTGGCAATCCATTGAACTTCCTACACTCTGAGCGCATGTGTATTCGATGTGGTGCCTGTATGCGAGGAAATCAGTGCAATCTTGCGTCCAGTTGGCGATGCCCCCATGCAAGTTGACTGCAGGTCTCGGTGAGGTTTTTCGTGTTTGGCGGTTCATTTGCACGTCCCGGTGGGGTGAGGTATGCCATTTGCACGCATTCTTGATTGCAACTTGCACCTTGTGGGGTTTTTGAACCTGCATGACTGCTGAAGCCATGCTTTTGGCAGGATGCTTTGCACTTCTAGCCCCATTCGGGTTTTGGCATGTTTTGCCCTGACGTGCTTTGTGTGCTTTCGAGGGGGGTCCATGCTTTCTGTTCTTGGCGTGCCTCCAGCCCGCAAGGACGGCTTCCGACGAACTTCCACTTCTTGCAGCCCGGCTGTAAGTGTTGGGTCCGTGCAGGAACTTCAGAGGCATCATGCCAGGGTCATTATTTGCACTGTGTCTAGGGGTTAGCAAGGTCAGAAATCGGGGTTGTTTCCTTTACCCTACCACTTAGGGGGGGCCAGTCATACGCTTCCCTAGCCCGAGGCTCGCCCAGGATCCTTTTTCTTTTACATGGATGGGGGTCGCAAAGAAGCTGACAAAGATTCAGCGAAGAGACGGCTTCTCCAGTGGGTATGATGAACCAATTTGTGGAAGGCCGAGGGGTTTCATGTTAATGAAGGGTTTTGGCACTGACGGTGGCCACGTTAAGGGCCGGTAGTGTGTTATGTACGGTATGCATGTCCCTCCCTGCAGCTGCGTGACAGAAGCGGATCATTGCATCATTGTCTACAATCTCCGAGGGAAAGGGGGGAACATCGCGCATGCCATGTGCGGTTGCCCATTTTGAAATTAGCAGCCCACACCTCAAGCCTAATATGCACAGGGATGGGCAGACTGCCACGTCCCGTTGCTGCTGCTTTGGACTGTGGCGCTAGCGAGAGGGGCAAAGCAACGTTAGGACCTATCTCCAAGACGTTCTTCACAGGCCTTTGTTTCAGCAACACTTGTGACACGAATCGGCAGTACTCCATCATTGCCATTGAGTTATATATCGCTCCTAGTCTTGAGGCGTTTAGTTTATGGCCCCTCGCCATCGCATAGTTGGCCCTCCATTTCACAAAGCCTTTATCTTCGAGCTTTGAGGGGCCTCTAAGGGTTCCAAGTCGTTGAAGGACCTCGTCCAGCCCCATCCCAGGAATGAGGCTGCGAAGAACTCTCCAACTTCGCCTGAAGGGGTATACGAAACGCCGGAGCTGCTCGAATGCAAGTGTGCAGTTGAGATGCCGAATCCTTTGCTGAGGCTTCTTGTGAAACGGGCGGGCTGGCCTCAAGGTGAAATTGACACTGTGATTTCAGGATGACAGTATCATCCATCTACCTTCCACCTTGCAGGGGCATTATTTCTGCAGCCTGAAAAGCTGTAAGTTGCGTTAGGCAGCGCCCAGCGCGAAAACGCAAGTAGCTGAAACATGTTTCCCACGGCCGCGGGCTGAGTGTTGGGGCGGGCTCCGGATCCAGGCCGCTGACTAGCCCGCCCAGCGCGGCGGAGGTCACCAGAATGGGAGGCCGGAGGAAGTGGAAGCGGCAGAAAATTCCAACCATCCCCTCAGTGTTGGGGGCTATCACGTGGGTTTTAACAGGCCCGGATGTCGAGTTCCCGGAGTTCGAGGGGATGCTTCAGTCCCTTGTTGGACCCTTTTGATTGGCATGGAAAGCCCACGGACTTCTTCGGAGCGTTGGCAAGGGCACTGCAGGAAGCTCGCAATGATAACGGGCAAAACCTATGCAAGCTTGTCAGAGCGCAAACGAGATGAGAGCCACCTCGGAGAAAGTATTGGAAGCCAGAAAGACGGCAGATGGTTCCATGTCCAAGCATGGGGAACCACTTGTAGCAGCCAAGTTGGAGCTGGACACGTAGCACGGTGGAAGAACCAAGAAGCCGGCTCAACTAACTGATTCTTACACATGTATCCCGGGAGACCCCACTTACCAGTGTAGTCAGCATAGTAGGAAAAAGCCAGCAATCTAACGTTCACCTCACTTACTTTGTGAAGGCCAAGCCTTCTTTTGTCGTGCTGGCTGGCTGTGAGGCTGGAGGAACCAAATCGGCATATGCCTGAAGGCCCGACAACGTTACCACGAACAACTGACAAGCAATCAACGAGCACCCATACCAGTACATAGTGATAACCGCTTCCGTTGCTCATTTCCCATGATGGACCCGCACAAATGCTTGTTTTCCTGGAGGACCCTTTGATACACAAAAAAGTGCTCCAGACAGTTTTTGGCATTCGAGCTTTTTTTTCTGCTCAAATCCGATTCGAGCACTTTTTGAGGTTGCCTAGATGCTTGGTGAAGTGCTCGAGAGAAAACAAACCCGCAACTCGAGCGCAATTTCCCGCTACTCGGGCGCAATTTTCCGCAACTCGGGCGCAATTCCAAAAAGTGTGCAAAGCCAAAGCTCCGCCACGCAATCTGTGCATTTGCATGTGTTTGATTTTACCATTTTTCGCGCACTTATTTGCCACGAAAGCTCGAGCAAACATTTGTGTAGCAATGGGTCCTGCAGGTTTGTCTGATGTCGCTTGGGCAAGTTTTTGGAGGATCGCCATTTGACTTCTTGTTTCTTGAGCCTTTGGCTGACTTTTGAGAATTGAGACGTCAGGCGTGGCGCGTCGCCGACAGATGGACGTCCGCCGGCTGGACTTGCAAGTGCCGCGTCCTTCTATTCCGGGAGTGGACGTTACAAGGTTTGTCACGCCTGTCTCCACCCTGGGCCAAGTGGAATGTGGTTCTTTACCGTTGAAATTTTGCCGGTAGCGACCTTACAGCGAAGCCATCACCTCGGCAATCAAAAGTCGGGTTTCCGTGGGTGTCTCATTCTGGGCAGGCTGGCAACAATATGGACTGAGTGGTCGGAGCACTCGCTGGGCCGAATCCAACCAACAATGCTCTAATTTTGACAACCTCCCTCCATGCTTCAGGTGTTCCAGGTCGCTTGGATAGTTTTGTCACGTAGTGTCTGGGATTCTCAGGTGGTGCAAATGCCTGGATTGATAAGGGGTCAAGAGGATTCGAGACTGCTGATGGTATTCAGTGGCAACCCCTTCTCAGGCTGGAAAGGGCTTGGCCACGCTGACCCATGCTCCTTGAAATGGCTGCCTGCTGCAATCTGTCGAGATGCACAAATGGAATGGACGCAACAGGCGAAGACAGAAACGGTAGCCAAGTGTTTGGTGGGCAAACTGAGGAGTCTGAGGTAACACTGCTACAGAACACATGTGTTTGATCAGGCACTCCACTTGCAATGTGTCGGCTTCATTGGCACGTTTGGCTTTGTTTTTCTCTCTTTTGGTGCCAAAAGTGCAATTCGGGGGGGGGCTGATGGGGATGGTCACCAACCCCTATCAGGACTGGTGCTCCCGCAGGATCCCAGAGGCACGCAGATGTTATAGCGAGCTGGAGGTAAAACCCTTGCAGGTTGTTTGGCCACATTCGGGTTTGATATGCGCGCTTGGGATTTGGCTTTGGCACATGCTGAGGTGGCTTGGCACAACCACGCCAAGGAAGCGCTGCTGTCACTTCCCAGCGAGGCAATCGGGCATTCACATGCCAAGTGGGCTTTGCCCACAAAGGTGCCACTCCAACCAAAGAAACACCTTGGGGTTTGTGCCCCAGAAAAAGCGCACAGGCACATTGTAGCCATATGTAGCCATGTAACTTCAGATTCTGATCAGCACATCTATGGCAAACTGATACTGTAGAGAAGTTCCCTTTCAAGTAGTGAATATGCTGTCTTTTTGAGTAATGCATGCTGAGTCACGGCTTGTTACTTTGCAGTACTTACTGCAAGTTGTGTTTTTTTGACATCTGCAGGCCTGCGTTTTGCCGACCAAGCTGTTGAATGTTGCCTGTGTCTAGCCCAGCGCAAAGACCTTCCCGTGTCTCCAAGCACGGGCAAAACAAGTCCATTGCGTTCTGAAGAGACGTGAACATTGATTAGTATGCACCTCAAAAGGCCTTGTGTTTGCACTGCAGACGTTCCATCTTCCGGCAAACAGTGCACCAGACAGCGTTGGCGGGCATCCGCTTTGGTGGTCTGAACGGAATTCAAAGGTCACCCATTTTAGGGCTCCCCAACTCAATTTTAGGATCCCCACATTTTGCGATTTTAACGGCATGCAGATTTCCAGGAACTGCTGGAGGAGGCCAAGCCCTTCCTGAAGTTGGTTCGCCACAACCGCTGCGACGCCTTGTGGGAGCTGCTGGACGATCCATCCTCCAGCAGGCGCTGGGATGGCGCGGGGGTGAGAAAGGGAAAAGATAGGCAAGCCTCTCGCTGGGTTTCCCTCAAGTACCCCTCGAACAAAAACCTTGCCCATGTGAGGTCATCAGGGTCGGAAGAACCACTTTATTTAGAGGGAGACTTGCTAATCGCCGGTTGACTTAGAGATCCTGAGAGCCAGCTAAATTGACACACATCCTCACGAAGAGGCATTACTTGTTGACGTTCCTGCATCGCTTGGTAGTTGGGCCCTGAGTAAGCTGTTTGGCAAGGACCCAAAAGTACCATACTTGTGAATTTGGAGACCCCTTTGGGTGCTCGCTGGGTTCCCTTTTGGTTTCCCGTTCGCTGGGTTTCCCCTTTGGGCCGTTGTTAAAAGGGATATCTCGGGCCTAGCGGAATTCCGTGAAATTTGGAAACCCAGAGCTACAGAGCCCATTCCCTAACTCGCGCAAGTGACATGGCTTCTCGGAGAGAGTTGTGGCCACAGTCGTGTTTGTGGTTGTTTCTGTTTGTGTCTGTGTGCTTGTGCCTCTGGCTGTGCCTCTGTGTGTTTGTGTGTCTTTGTCAGTGGGTGTGTGTGTGTGTGTGTCGTTTTGCGTGCGCGTGCATCGGCGCTTTTGTGTGTCTGTTTGTATGGTCTCTGTCAGCATCTGTGCCTCTCTCTCTCTCTCTTTCTCTTTCTCTCTCTCACTTTCTCTCTGTCTCTCTCTGTTTGCATGCCCGGCTGATGTGTGTTTTGTTTGTGTCATTTTGATAGTCATGTTGCTGAGTTGATTTGCACTTTCTTGTTTGACCTGGATCCGGGATCTAGGCGTGACAGCCGATGGAAAGCAGGCCTTGCCTAAGATCACATCAGCGACCCATTTGGAGCCAAATCCCACCGGCAGGATAGTCCTTTCTTCACTGTTGGGGAACCCCAAAGATGCGTGTGTTCCTTTTGGTTCCTTTTCAGCGCACCTTAGAACACATGAAGCGCGGTCAGAATTTGCGGAAAAGGAAAGTAGTCTACGCTTGGACGTCCATATAGCTCAAGCTGCTTGAAGCCATGGAAAACGATAGGGGACTCTCAAAAGAAGCGATACCTTTGTGTTATAGACCAAACGCTGGAAAACGATAGGGGACTCTCTAAATTCAAACGTACTTACTGTGAACAACAATATTTGATAAATTTTGACGGAACTTCACATGCCCGCATGGTCCCCCTAAAGTTCCAAAGGATCCCAAAAGCTGGGTGAACTCACATTCCCCTCAAGTGCTTTTTCATGACCCAAACCACTCCCTTTCATGGACCTTTCCCTCCAGAAGTGTTTTTCATGACCCAAGCCGCGCTCACGTTCATGTACACAAAAAGGTGCCGTCCTTTTCATGACGGGCTCAAAGCACTCGCTTTCACCCAAAATGGCGCGAAACGGCTCTGGCCGTTTCGGGCCGTTTTAAACGGGGTCGTCTCCGGGCCGAAGCGGCGCACGGCGCACGGCGAGCGGCTCGGAAGGTGGGCCTGGGCCACCTCCGGGCTGCTGAAGCTGATGGTGGTGGCGCCTCGGAGCGCCAGCGGCGCTTGCGAACGAGGGTGTAGAAGTGGTTTTTTGTTTTTTGTTTTTTCCCCGGGGGGGACCGTTGGTGTTTTGGGGTTCAGGGGAAACCAAAAGGACAACCGCCAATTGTTTTATGTTGTTGTGTGTTTTCTTGTGTTTCTTTTTTTTTGTGTGGGGAGGGGGTCCTAAAGTCAAAAGTGTAACCAAAAAACGCTCATATGCCCACGCATTTGAATAGGGAACTGCCTCAAAAGCGGGTGGTGGACATGAATGCGCATCTAAAGTGTAAAGTCCACCAATGGGTCCCCAATTAAGACATATTTTGGGTATGTGTCAAAACAGGGATTTGGACCCACATCATGTGGGTGCAGCCAAGATGCCTTTTTCTGAGGGTGCCCTTTTCGCATGGCTCACAGGGAAACCAAAAGGCATTTCTCTGAAGTGTACCTTGGGGGGTCCCGGTCAAACCCATGGTTTGAGACCACCAAACAATTTGGTACCCAAACAAGACGCCTTGCTTTGAGTGTTTCTAAAGTGGTGGACTCGGATCGCGTTTGGTATGCAAAGGCAACGCATTGAAGCCACCCTTGCTTGGGGAAGAGCAGGAAGCCTTGGGCCTTGGGCTTCATCCCAATGAGCAGGTGGTGTTGACAATCTGATTTACAACGTGCCTCGTTTTGGGATGATGCTTTTGCTAGGTTGGAAATGCAGCTACCCCGTTGAACCGTGGTCTTCCTGGCATGGTGGCGTTCCCCAGCTTCGTGAGGTATGAAAGCTGCCATGCAACTACAGAGGGGGAGTTTGGAATTTCGCAGGCTTGCGACAGACCGAGCTCCTCCATGATCAAGGTCCTCACTTGGGGACACAGGGATTCCTGAAAAAAGACCATCCATGTTGGTGGGTGACGCACATATTGATGCACCCCCGCACTACTTTTGAGTGCGATGGTTCATGCATGGACAGTATTGACCATCTCTGCTGAGACTGATGAGCAGATGTGATGAGCGATCTGTTCAACTTTCCTTCCACATGGATAGGCAGAGATCAGCGAAACAGCTATACCAGATAGTTTTAAGAGGACAGTTCCGGGGATCTTCAGCATGGTGGGTAGCGATGGATTTTCGTGGTTGTGCTTGCCGGGTAACTAAGCTAGGAAGTCTGGAGGCACGCCAGATGATTTGCTTCAGGTGAGCGTCATCATCTCTTTGTTGCAGTCTGCGGAGGAGGCTGTGGGGTTGTTCGGGGAGGGGCCTTGTGTGTGATCCCTTCATATTTGACGGCACTAAACAACGCCGTATGTGACTGTCAAATTCCAGCAGCAGGGTACGTGCTTTTAAATGTGGAGCCTCGCGTTGCGACGGACCCGCAGCTATAGGCAATGAAGTTGACAACATTTCGCGGTTGAGCAAAGCGGTTCTTGCATTGTGGCGAATTCACCCCTATCCAGTAGCCCTGCCAATGGGCAGGGGGACGCCAAGTCTGCAGGCAAACTCTCAAAGACGGCCAGTTGCCGGTCACCGTTCGATGATTCCTTCTTCCTATTAAAAGTTGTTCCCCTAATGCCCCCAGCCAACGCCGAAATTTGCCAATACTTATCAAATTACACAATACTGAGCCAATACTAAACTCTTCAAAAACCAGATGAACTCAGCTAAGCTCCCCGGATTTTCTTATTGGCGGCGCCACCCTAGCAATGATCAATAGGGCTGCCTTGCGTGCGCGGTTTTCATTAATTAGGCTCTTCATTAGGTTCCCATCATCAGGTCCGACTCACAAGTTGTCTTCTAGCGCTTTTTCCCTCTCAAACCAAAGGGTTGCCTTGCGTGAGAGGTTCTCTTATTAGGGTCTCCATTAGGCTCCTTCGGTTTCTTTCTCAAAAGTTGTATTCTGAGCGCTCTTTTCTTTTCAACCAAAGGGCTGTTTGGTGTGAGCGGTTATTATTGTGTCAGAACGAGGGCTCCTTCCCTTTAAAAGTTCTTACTCCAAAGTGGCATTCAAACACTTGTTTTTGCAAATCAAAGGGGTTCCCCTTTCCAATTTGAGCCCAATACTAAAACCAAGGACCCTAAGAATGAACCCCCTCCGAGTTGTTGTTTTGTGTTTTTATGGGGGGGGGTTGCAGTTCTAGCCAAAACCTGAGGCCCTCATAATAAAAACCCTCCGTTTGTTTTTGTTTAGGGGGAGTGGTCGGGTTCTTAGGGGGAAGGGATTCGCCAGGTCGGTGTACTTCCTTGGACCTTGGCGCTGGAAATCGGTTTCGACGCCATTTTTCTGCTGGAGCCTTGCCTCGGGTCTAAGACCGGAGAACCGCGCAAATTGGACGGCTTGGCTTTTGTCCTGTGGCTTTTCTTCTGGTGTGATAGGTGGGGAATGTGGTTGAATGAACCCAGGAATTGGTCCCTGAAAGGAAGCTGCAAGTTGCATGGTTTATAGGGGTCATTCCCTCATGCTGAGCACCAGCAAGTTTTGGAGAGTTGCAGGTTAAATTGACACAGCAAGAGTCACGCAAAGCATGCAACCCTCGTTGCTGCGACATCCAGGGCTTGGAGAACAGCAAAGAGAGATGAGCACAGACCGCCTTTGCGTTCTGTAAGGGCCTGTCCCTTTGCTAGCTTTTGCAGGCGTGGGTCATTGCAAATCGATAAGCATGAATGGACGGATAACACCAGCGGAGTCAGACATTTTGCAAACCCCGATCAGATGTTGGACTGATTGGTACACACAGATAGCCAGCCGGTAGCCAGCTCTTTAGCCGCCAAGCCTGATGCAGCCTTTTCCTCATTTGCGCATTCAGCGGCCTAGACCACATTCAACCACTTGGCCCGGAACGTTTCAAGCCGACAAGTCAGAGAAAACGATATCAATCGATGCCAGGGCATAAGGTTACAAGGGTTGTTCACGGGATGTCCACGTTTTTTGTTTGGTGTTTTTTGTTGTTTGTTTTTGTTTCCCATGTAACTTGTTTAGCGTATTACATATATATATATATATTACATGGTTTGCCAGCTCTCTCACCCATCGTCGCGAGGTCCACCGTCTGGTTGCATGCGTTGTTTGTCCTTGATTGTTTCCAACTGCTTCGCAAGGAATTCCTTTGCCGCATCGTGCCGCCTGGATGCACAAAGCAAAGTGGCTTGCGGCCAGATTATTTCGAATAGGCTAGCCAATGCACCATTGCTGGAAGAGGAACAACCCTGAACAAAACCCACATGAGCAATGGGGCTTAGGTGATTTGCTGTCATTTGGCGTGGCCGGACCACTTAGGGAGATGTTGTTTGCCGGCCTACTTTACTAGGTCAATGTGAAGGAGTTACGCGGTCAGTGCTAGCAGTATTGGGCCTGATGCGTGACCCGGATTACTAGGCAGTGTTTGGTTACTAGCGAGGCAACCATTCAGAGGCTTCTCATCTTGACCAACATCACCTCAACCCAAGGTGAGTTGTTGCCCACAGCTGGTCCATATTTCAACGTTCCGAGTGGGCCAGCTCCCTTGTCCGTGGCCACTGGGCTGAGTTCCGGCCCTGAATCTCTCCTAGCTTTCTCTTGAGCGGATGCTAGCCAGTGAAGGCGCGCTTCCTGTGCCATGCTGAGCGCCTGGATCTTCAAAAGCTAGCAGATGCCCCCGCCATGTTCCGAGTCAAGATGATTGAACCTGGCAAAAGCCGGCCAGCAAGCCAGTGCCAGATTTCCATGCTGGCACCCATCTATATAGATTGTGCGGTTCAGGTTGGTACTTGGGGGTATGTTGAACCCCTGGCTCTTGTCCAAGTCAGGAATCCAAACCAAGCCGAGCACAAATCACAGCAGCCGCACTGAGAAGCACTGTTGCCCTTCTTTGAAAGCTTCTTTCCGACGGGTCTCTTACAACAATACAATACGGCCGGTCAGCACATTCCACAGACTTGGCAGATGACTTGTAATTCGACTAGATGGGGCTGTGTTATCTGGAGGGTACCTACTCTTTGTGGTTGTGAAGGGAAGCCAAAGGGAAACCAGCCTTTCGAGGCTCCCTCAAAGCCGGCCCAGATGACATGTCGGCTTTTTCGTTCCTTTCTCTTTTTTGTGAGCGAGGTCGGCACCTTCGAAGAACAGATACTTTATAGATCCACTGAACTGGGCGGATGTGCTCAGCGCCTTTGGACTGCCCGTGCGGGTCTTCCTTGTCTTTAACGGTGGCTCACTCACCCGCCCTTTGACTGCGTTTTGGGACCCATGAAGGTGAATCTGAGCAGAGGGTCTCAAAACTTTGGGAGATTCCCTGTGAACCAGCACTTAAAAGTAAACTTGAAATTCAGGATATCACTTTGAGGAGTCATCAGTAATCTCACAGCGGCAGTGCCTCATTCCTCTCGCTGGATCTGGGCCCAAGGAACTTAGATTCCAACACCAGTGACCGATGCATGTTCAAATTAAGGGAGCTCTTCTTGCCATGTATGAAATGCGCACCTGGTAGGCTGTTCTGTTCTTAGGTTCATTCTGGTTTTGGCATACTTTCTCTTGAGACGGGGGGTGCGCTCTGGAAATAGAGTTGCGTCCCCTTGTACTTTGGCCTTGCAGCAATGAAACCAATCATTGAACCTGAAGACAAGTCATTCTCCAACACCCCGAGTTTCAGTAGCCAGCCAGGAGTTCTGCATGTGCACAGCACACGGTTCGTTCAACCCTTGTGAAGGCATGCCAGCACCTCGGTTGTATGATAGGCCACGTCAACAGCTCGAAGGAATCTCCGGGTTGGGGCACGTGGAGTGCAGGAGTTTAACCTTGACGTTTGCAAGCCGCGGTTTAGTCCTGACTAGGGGTAGTTCTACTTGCCTTTTAGGGCTTCAACCATAGCTCTGAGAAAGAGGAAGCTTTCAGAGGACTTGTCAGACGTTGAAAAGACAATGGGTGCGGGTGCTTCGCGGAGCCATCATCATTCTGAAGGATCCCTGCTTGAAAGCCAACCAACCAAACATAGAGGACTGATAAATTAAACAGCCAACCACCCAGTCAGTCAATCAACCAGTCAGTCAACCAACCAACCATCCAACCAGTCAGTCAACGAGTCAGTCAACCATCCATCCAACCATCCAGTCAGTCAACCATCCAACCAACCGACTAGTCAATGAAGCACCCAGCCAATCAACCAGCCAAGCGACCAACCAGTCAGTCAACCAGTCAGTCAACCAGTCAGTCAACAGCCAGCCAGCCAACCAAACAATTAGTGAATCAGCCAAGAACTCAATCACTCAATCAACCAGCCAACCAACCAGCCAATCAATCAATCAATCAATCAATCAATCAATCAATCAATCAATCAAGCAAGCAAGCAAGCAAGCAAGCAATTAGTCAATCAGTCAACCACTTCTGCCGAGAAGTTCCTTGATCTTGAAAGCCGAGAGCTGAACCAAGGAGCCTATGAGGTCAGCATGATGCTCTTCCTGCCAATCATCCGTTTTTTGAAGCTCCTGCGCTACTTCGCAGCTCGGCACGGTCAGCATTTCCGACGCCGCCCAGGCCACACACACCTTTCAATTGTCCAAACGACGCCCAACAAAGGGGCGATCCGAGATGTTGTATGCTACTAATTGGCACCAAAAATCCAGCCCACCGATGAGAGCCGACAAGCACGTATGACAAGCGTGAGCAAGCAGGCACGAGCAAGGGCAAGCTGAGGTGAGAGCCGACAAGCACGTATGACAAGCGTGAGCAAGCAGGCACGAGCAAGGGCAAGCTGAGGCGCTCCATCCGTGAAAGACCCGCTGCCGTGAAAGACCTGCGAAAACCAACTTGCCCAGCCCAGGATCCATCATAAGCTTTGCTGCACTGCCCTGTTCTGATTTTGTAGGCCTTGAAGTAGAAGCAGCCTTCCCAAGCGACCCATGTAATGAGGATCTTTTCCCTGCCTCAGGGACGACATGTTTGAGGTGCAGGGTGCACCACGCGGACAAGCACACTTGCTTGCTGTTAAGTGTGGCCAATTTGTGGCCACGTAAAGGCCAAACGGTAAAGAATAGCTTTGTTTGTTCCAGGTTGTTGCCAAATTTGTTCATGGCTTCTGTTTTTCCTCATGTGAACTCGGGACGATGCAGGTCTATGTGGATCTCAGACGCCAGCAATGGCCAGTGTGCTTCCACCTTCCCATGCACTTTGTATAGTAAGTACATGTAAATAAGACAGATACATTTGGTGTGTGTGTGTGTTCAACATCCACTAGACTTGCCCGGCTGCATGTTGTGGGCCTGAAGTTTCTGAAGGTGCAGCTGGGGCTTCCTTACCCGTCTGAGGAGTCTTTCAGGCTTCTGATCGATGCGGGCAAGAACTCCATGGAGGCTTTGCCATTGCTTTCTTACTTCATGGCAATCATCACGCTTGTGGCGGCGACGGCATTCTACTTGGCAGAGGACAAAAGTCTATGTAGTTGTTTGCATGTGCCTGTTATGGGTTTTGAGCTGGCCTGAAATCAGCCAGTTTAATGGTCATTGCAGCTTCGTCCAATGCTGCTTTCTGAGCCAAATTTGTTCCCCGGGTTCCGTTGTCATTAACCCACAGCCTGGCCCAAATGTTCGCGGAATGGTGCCCTTCTCTACTAGCCCTAAAGCTTGCCTTGCAGGACGAGACGAACATTCCAACCTTACATCATGCCATGTGGCTTGCCATCGTGACCATGACCACGGTGGGCTACGGGGACTTCTATCCCCGATCTTTGGGCGGCTACATCTCAGCCTCTGCTCTCACCTTCGTCAGCGTTTTGTTCCTGGCCTTGCCGGTGGGCATCATTGGCAGCTCGGACGGCCAAACCTGGCAGTCAGCAAGTGTCGCTCTCGCATGTACGCACCATGGGCTGAATTAGCCACGTGGCCCTGAAAAGTCATGACGTTAGCTCCCGGAGAGTGCCAGGCCACGAGTTCACCTCCTGCTGGCAGATGCGGAAGCAGGTCTTGCTGAAGAACCGTATCCGCAAGTGCCTGCTGAAGTGGGGCTACAACGCCGAGGCCGGGCTTTTCTCAGAGTTCCTGTCGCCGGTGCTGGGGAGCCACGGTGTTGCTTTCACCGTGAGCGTGCAGGTTGGATGTTCCAGATGTGGAGGGGGATGCATCCAGGTGGTGGGCACATGGAGACGCACTGCCTCAACAAGCAGGGACTTTTGCAAGATATCCATTGTCCAGTCTCACCAGAGAGTAAGGGGGAATGCCGCTAACACCTGAGCCTATTGCGTGGAGGGCTTCATGAAGGGTACTTTGAGATGATGACCTTGGTATTACGTATATACGTTGCGGTGCTTTAAGTGGTTCCATGCTTTTGAGTGGCCATTGGGCACGTACTCCCAAACCAATCTAAACCACCTCAAACATGATCAATGAATTGCCCGACGCTTGGGGGGGACGGGGTCTCAGTATGGGATCATAGCTTCACGAGTCTCATTCAATTGTACAAGGAGTCATTTGAATATCGTTCAACAGGTAATTAATGAATACAATATTGCATTTTGGGATCAAGAACTGGTGAACATAATTCGTCGAAAAGGCAGGAGTTCATGCGCAAGGAAATGAATAATTTGGAGGAAGGCGAACAACACGATCATCCATTATCCAAATTGGACATTGTTCAAGACTAATTCACGCAGAGTGACCAATGCAGCAAACATGGGCGGACAGCAAGCCTCGCAGGACTTGCGAGTGCTGATCGAATATGTGGATGCAGACAAAGACGGGAACTTGACTCTTGGCGAATTCATCGAGCTCATCCGGCAGATGAGGATTGGCATCCCAGCAGCTGGGACAGCATCCAGGATCTGTTCTCATCAAGCCTGGTGTGTTGGTGTTGAGGGGCCGCCCCAGGAACCGCCCGTGACTTGATGATGGGGACTTGCACCACTTGGGTGGAGCAGAAGGCTAGACAAGCACAAGCTTCAATGCCAGTTTTGGCAAGTTGTTGAAGCAACATCACACGTGGCACAACAGTCTTGTGTCCATCAGTCGCACTCGCATCTGTGCTTACCCATAAAGCACGTGTGCAGCGTTCTACAAACCCTGATGGTTCCTTCCGTTGCGAAAGGTCTCGCCAAAGGGCTTTCAAGTGGTTCCACTTGCAAACGTTTGGCGCACATTGTTTGTATAATTACGTCTCTGGTTTTCAATATTGTGCATGGTTTCCTGTGCCCACAAAAGCGAAAACACGCTTCCAAACGGTGTTTTCATTTGTGAAAGCGCCACGCAACCAGTTGCTGTGTTGAAACCACTCGCGAAAGCTGTCTTGGGCAGCCGCGAGCGAACATACATTGGTACAGGTGCCCTCCCTCAGTAATTGGAACAACGCTCACATGCAGGTCTGATAGAATCGCGCGCATTCTTCAGTTACATTGATTCGTTCGGGATCTCTAGCCACACTTTGCGCAGTCTTGAAAGGCAGAAGTTGTTTTTGGTGGGTATGGCTTGGGTTCGGACAAGCTTCCAGTGTCGACTTGGTGTAAATGTGGTTTCACCGTTTCGCGAACAGGAAGCCATAGCTTTCTCCAAGTTGCTGTGTTACAGTGTTGCAAAGGGCACGGAAAAACTGAAGATTGGATTGGACTAGAATTTGTTGCACTGCCCGTTGGTTTGGAAACGCCCGACTTTCCAGTGCAAGGGGAAGTATGTCCAAGATGTGTGCACATCGCGTGAAATGGATGGCTACAGCCAGAAGGCCTACACTTTGCCTTGTCACTACCAAGGCCGAAGGAGCTATTGATTTGTTTATGCTCTTTGACCACGACCTGCTGCTTGACACAACGTTCCGAAGCTGCTTGCAGCTTCAGACTGAGGGTAAGCTGTCTTGAGGAGGGCATGCGGACAGGAAAGGGTAGCTTCGAGGCATGGTTGAGGCGGAGGCCACGTCTTGACCAGCAAGCTGCTGGATTTACAGCTTGATGCCACAAGCGGCAAGGCTCATCATGGCAATTCGTCACCCCTCCAACCAAAGCGTTTCTCTGCTCCAAGCTGAACACCTCATAGAGCAGTGCCGAGGCAACGGCTTGCCACCACACCACGTTACATTTTGCTGCAAGGGAAGGCTCAAAGGCGTCTTGTGGGTCGAATCATGGCACTCTAGTTTTACCCCATCAAGGAGCATCTAAATGAGCACAAGGCAGCACACACCATCGTGAAAGGACTCTTGTGCGCAGCAGTTGCTTCGGCTTTTGCAAGAACCGAACCCAGTTCTATGTGTCAACCTTGATGCAGTTGCCCAGAACTTTTAACCTGCGATCCGGTGCCCCACAGCAAATGTCACGAGTCTTAAACACAACACCCATAAAACAAGTAGTTGAATCAATATGGAAGTAAATGCCTTCGGTCGCCGATTGGCATGGCCAAGTTGCAAGCCTGATGTGCACGCTTAGGCCGAGGTGTGAGGTTTAAGGTGAGGGACTCCACCACGCGATTGGTTTCCTTGCGCTCCTGTCAAACCCCGGAATGGTACCCTCAACAAAAGGGTGCACCCACATATTCCGTTCATTTGTTGCCGGAAAGAAGCAGAGAACGCCATCGGATACCATATGGCATGGCTTTGCAGGGCTTGCCGCTGGGTAAGAGCTGAGCAGTGGCGGGCAGCAACGCGTGAGGAATGGCCACATTGATTACTCCGAGTTTTTGCGACAAATTTTCCCGGAGGAGTATGTCAAGGACGGGCGGGGTTCTCCGTCCCGCTGGCAAGCAAGTCCCACAGATTCACAAAAGCCAGTGGCTCAAACGACTTGGTTTGTTGCACTGGCTAAATGCAGCCCTCGTTAGACAGGCATGATGCGTGCAACTAAACCCACTCAGAGTAGCCACAATGATTTGCTAGGATATTGACCGTGGTTCACCATGACCGTGTGACTGGGGGTTAAAACGCGCCCGTTTCAAAACGCACGCCTGCACACACACACAGACAGACACAGACACAGACACACACACACACACAAGCACACACACACAACCAAACACAAGCACACACATGCAAAAGCACCAACACCAACACCAACACTGGCAAACACAAGAGCAAACACAAACACACAAACCCACACCACAGATGCACACCACACACCACACACCACACACCACACACCACACACCACACACCACACCACGCAAACAAACAAACAAACAAACAAACAAACAAACACACAAGCAAGCAAGCAAGCAAACGAACAAACAAACAAACAACCAACCAAACACACACACAGACAAGCAAACAAACCAACAAACAGCAATAACACGCGCACACACAATCACGCAGACAGAGACACAGACCCAGACACAGACCCACAGACATACACGTACACGTACACGTACACATACACATACAAATAAAACGTACACATACACTTACACCCACACACACACATACTCGCGACATCTCGCAACTGTGCGTGCGAGAGCCAAACTTGCTACGTCCAGTTGGGTAGATGAGCCAAAATGGCGGAAGGGGCAGGGTGGCCTGAAAGCAATTGCCATCCCACGTGGGCAAAACGTGCCGCCGTCCATGCGGCTGGAGGTTTGTTTCTTTTGGACGGAGGGGGGGTGATTCAGAACATTTGCTTCACGGGCTCAGCTTGTTCCGAATTGTTCTTGTTTGCCCGGCTTTGGCAAGCCCGCCTTGTCCTTCAACGAATGGGGGCACCCAACTATCCTTACAGCATTTGGACAATGTGGCATTTGGTTTGTTTAGCACCGTTGGCAGTTTCTGCGATTCTATCATGACCATGATGCTGTCATGCTTATGCTCCTCACTGATCAAACCTTTTTGAGGTGTTTGGCCGAGTCAGCGCGATTGTGCGATTGTGTTATAATCGCAGCAAGCAGCAGGCAAACAATGTATGGGGGGTTGGGGACCGTTCTTCCCTCGTACACTAGAATAACGTATGAGGGGGGACCCTCCACGTTTTCCTAGGTGCGGGTGATGTGCAAATCTGACCCCTGCGGAGTTTGGCCCAGGAGAAGCAAATGCAGGAGCGGGAGTCCATGCGCAAGACGGGCTACCGCGTGAGCTGTGCCCTAATCGCACTGGGCGACAAAGAAAGGACCGCGCTCCAAAGGTTTGCGGTTTGGTCAAGGATTTCTGGCTAGCTCGATCTAGCTGAACTTGAAATCGGAGACCTGAAGTCAAAGAAGTTGCTGCTTGGTCATGTGCCTGATCCAACGTGGATGACTCACGGAGGGTCAGTGCTGTCATTGGCCATGTTTGTTCATTTGATGCAGCTTGACAAGTTGAACTATGCGAAATGGTCTGTGGCAGCTCTGAGGTGTTTCTCCAAAACTGTCCAGTTGCCTTTTCAAAAGGCCCAGATGTGCCGTGATCAAAACACCTGGTTGATTGCAGGGATCACAAAGGGGTTTTTACAGGGTTGACTGACAGCCGCTGCAAGCGCTGTTGTCAAGGGACCGTACCCTCCGTACCCTGACCATTTCTCACCATTCAGATGCAGGTGGGCGGGACCACATTCCGAAAGCAAGCAGAGTGACCGCCCTATTCTCCATGTGCAAGTGAGTACGACGCGCATTCATTAGAGGTGCAATGGGGCAGTTAGGTCCAAGACTTGTGCATTGCATTTGTAAATGGTTTCTAGACATTTTGAGGCCTCATATGTTTCTTGGCGATCCAGCTTTTTCCCAAAACGGGGCTTGGTACGGGAAAGACTGGGCCTGGTATGTTTGACCGGCGCGAACAGGAGCATGACGCTGAGCAGGACCAGCCTGGGGACTGAGGCAGGCTCTGTTTTTGCCGTAAGAGTGCGTGGGTTGAGCCATTTGTGGGTGGTTCAGATTGGGCGAAGGCAACCCGGGCACGTGGAGGCCCATGTCAGTCGGCGACCTGGGATTCACATGCGGGCCCGCAGGGTGAGCCCAACCTTGTCAGAAAGGCATCGAACCATCGAGTGACTTTTGTTCATCCTTGCTCCGAGCTGTTGATGATATTGGGTGGAACCTTTTAAGTCTAGCACAGACCGCAAAGGAGCACTCAAGGACAAGCTTTGAGATCATTCCTGTTGGCTGAACGGCATTTTGGGCAGGCCTCGTTTTGGAAGTTGGCAGCGACCTTGGGGCAAGTTGCGAGTTTGACCGGAGTCAATTTGGCAACAACTTGCTGAATGGCAGCCTGCTGTTGAAGAAGATTTGGTAGTCAGGTTGTTAGTCTTATCAGCTGCCTGTTGGGCTTCTTTGAGTTTGAGCTTTGTATTTGCATGCCCCGCTGTCCGGATACTGTGGGCACAGTTGCAGACGCGTGGCCAGTAGTCTATGGCTAGAGCACCTTCGCCTGGAAAACGAAGGAGCTGCAAGACCCAAGCTGGAACGGGACCCCCAAAACCTGGAAGCCCTTTTTGAGGGATTCTCTTGAACCGAAAACTGGGTTTTCGGTCGAAAGGCAACCTCTTCTTTATTGATGAGGGGCGGATCAGTTCACAAGCCTGCCACGGAGTGGGAAGGACTTGCAGCTGGGATGGCTTTCTGCCAACCGAATACAGGCTGAGACCCCTTGAAGCCCTTTCAAAACAAACTAGCCAACCTACGCTCCTTGAATCTCGCGCGGGGACCATACCTGGGCTGAGGGTTTGGAGGGGGCTGGGTTGCTCATTCCTAGGCCCCGGGCCGGAGACATGATTTTCCAAGGGCCCTGGATGCAGATTGAGCCTTGCCTGCTTGAGATCGGACGGGGATTCAGGGCCCGAGGCGAGGCCGAACAGAAGTTCATCCCCCTTCCCTTTCTCGAACGCCTGGAACAGCTTCATTTTCCTTCACCGTGTCCTTGTGAGAGTTGTACCTGCAGCTTTGAGCCACATTCGAAGGCAGATGAGGCGGAGAACGGAAGCAGCTGAGATGGATGAATCCATTAGCTCAGCCGCGCAGTCGAACCTTTCCACTAGCGGGTTCCTCAAAGGACACATGGCGATGTTTAGCATCATCACCATGTTGCTCATTCGAAGGAACGCCTTTTGATGCAATTTCTGGTTCTTTCTTCTCCGGGACCCTTTATTGAGCTGTTAATTTCCTGTCGCGTCGAAGAGGACAGGCCACTTCAACCCCGATTCCAGGATCAGCCGATCTAGCAATGGACGTGGAAACGAGTCAAACGGATCCCTTCACATATGGATGGGTTGATTTCGATGTTGCGTAAGCGATCCTGGGACAGGTTCTTCTGGTGTTGGAAATGCCTTCATCCAAGCTCGCCGCAAAGGCATAGAGCGCCTGAGAAAGGACTGACTATAGAGAGGAGATGAAAAGAGCCAGCAACTTGATCCAGTTCTGCACAAGTTTCTTCAGTGGAAGACTTGTCCTAATTAACATGCCTACGGCATTCTGGCACGTGTTGCCTGCTGCAGTCCTCCAACGCGCTCGCAAGCTGTCACCGCTCACAGTTTCCTAAGTGGGCCCTCGGCGATTGCGGTGCCCTCTGATGAGGTCAAAGGACATTTGTTTCCAAAGTGAACGGATGTCCATCGCCGCGTAGGCGGATGTCGGCTTTCACACACCTGATTTTTCCGCAAAGTCTGGGGAAATCCCTGCGTAGCTGTCTCACCTGGCCTGGAGCCGATAGCCATGTGCGAGAGCTTTCAAATGCGTCCGCCAAGCTCGGAGCCTGGCCTGGCCGTTCACGTGATAGGAATCCTTTTTTTTTGGCTCACAAAGGGATGGTGTCCATTTTGGTGGGTTTGCTTAAAAAATGGGTTTAGATGGGGTTTATCATTCCATTTGCCAGGGCCATTTATTTGTCCAAAAGGCCACCTATGCTCGCGACCGCGCGGAAAACAAACCAGAAACAAAACACCAGCCTCAAGCAGCGCTAAAATTGCACACATTGGCTGAAGAAACGAAAAGGAGAGGAAAACGGCCGCCGGCTGCGCAGACATGCCCAATAGCACAGAAGGAAGTGCACAGAAACACAGGCCAGCCCCCTGTGCCCAGAGCGGCTGGACCAAACCCGAAAAGCCAGCAAAACGATAGAACTTGACTGAGTAGGCAAAAGCCAAGGTGCAAAAAAAGCTTCAAGAAGGCCTAAAAGCCAAGAAAGGAAACTGAGAAGTTTCACTTGGCTGGGGCCTAACAGGGCCTCACCAAAGTGAAGGGTCTGACACGGCCTTTGTGAACGAGAATTGAACCGATCTGAGACAGTGACTTGGATGAGTGCGAACCGCAACGGAAGAGAAGGGAAACGTCCGAGGTGCAGAGCGGACTCAAACAACCACACAAACAAACACACACACACACACACACCCACCCACCCACCCACCCACCCACGCACGCACGCACGCACGCACGCACGCAAGCAAGCAAGCAAGCAAGCAAGCAAGCACGCAGGCACGCGCAAACGCACACGCCCACACACACCCACACACACCCACACACACCCACACACACCCACTAAGGCACTGACGCACGCGTGGACGCACGTGCTCCATCTAGTCTTTTTCGATCATTGGCAAGTTCATAGAGCACACACACAGAGAAAGAACAGGCTCATTTGTTTTATATTTTTGATTTCGGTTGAAGTGGTAGGTTCTTTCGAAATGGAACCAATCTTGAGGAAAACTGCCATTGTAGGGTGTCGACCATTTTGAGACGCACGCAAATGTCTCACACTTGAAGCAAGGCACACCGAGAAACTGGTTGCAGCCCCGTTGGCTTAGCCTGAAGGGTTGCAACTCTCCCGTTTGGAGTGCGCCTCAAGGGTCTCGCGCGAACCTATCCTCCCCACTCCAAATCCGCTTGCAATCACGGACTGTTGTTTGTCAAGGTGTGCGGCTAAACCAGGGAGCGTTGTAGTGGTTGAAGTCCCCCCCCCCAGAATCCACGTGCCAGGATAGATTCCTGGATCTGCCGCAGTACGTGGCAGCTCTCTCGCTGATCATGGCACGCGAAGGGCGGCTTGGACCATTTACATTTGTGGTTAGTTTTTCCAGGCGATTTCGTTGATGCTCTATTAATTCAGTTCAGGTAGTTGTTTGATATTTGTTTCCTCGGTTGCTTGTTGGGTCTAGTGCGTGCCTGCGGGAAGGTTCTCATCCTGAGCAAGCCCACATGAAGGACCCCCTAGTCCTTGAGTTTGGCTGAAGTATGTGGAAAGGATGCAGCAGCGGTTGGGAACACACGGGTAGCCATGGATCCGGTCAAGCATGTCTGGCTGCAAGGTTTCTTTTCGCAGATCGGACACAGCTCATCGGAACCTTTCGCAGCGAACCCTCAACAAATGCCGGTGAGATATTCTGGACGTACGTAGTCAATATTCTCAATCACTTCAGGTGTTTGTGTTGGTGTGTGTGTGTGTGCGTGGGTGTGTGTGTGTGTGAGTGTGTTTGTTGTGTTTTGGGTGCTTGTTTGATCTCGTGTGGCGTCCTTTCTGGGGTATATGTGGTGTCGTGGTGTTGTGTGCATGGCTTTTTGTTTATTTATATATGTGAGTTTGGTGTTGCGCACGTCGTGTTTGTTTGCTTGATTGTTTGTGTTCTTGTTGTTTTCTTTATTTGTTTGGTGGTGTGTTAGTTAGTTAGTTAGTTAGTTGGCTTGTCAGTGAGTTGATTTGTTTGATTGTTTGTTTGTTTGCATGTGTGTGCGTGCGCGTGTGTGTGTGTGTGGGTGTGTGTGTGTGCGTGTGCGTGTGCGTGTGCGTGTGCGTGTGCGCGTGTGTGTGTGTGTGTGTGTGTGTGTGTGTGTGTGTGTGTGTGTGTGTGTGTGTGTTGTGTGTTTGTGTTTGTGTTTGTGTTTGTGTTTGTGTTTGTGTTTGTGTTTGTGTTTGTGTTTGTGTTTGTGTTTGTGTTTGTGTTTGTGTTTGTGTTTGTGTTTGTGTTTGTGTTTGTGTTTGTGTTTGTGTTTGTGTTTGTGTTTGTGTTTGTGTTTGTGTTTGTGTTTGTGTTTGTGTTTGTGTTTGTGTTTGTGTTTGTGTTTGTGTTTGTGTTTGTGTTTGTGTTTGTGTTTGTGTTTGTGTTTGTGTTTGTGTTTGTGTTTGTGTGTGTTTGGTTGTTTGTTTGTTTGTTTGTTTGTTTGTGTGTGTTTCTTTGTGTTTGTTTGTGTTTGCTTGCTTGCTTGTTTGTTTGTTTGTTTGTTTATTTGCTGTGTGCGGTGCTTGTTTGCTTGTGTGTTCATTTGTTTGTTTGTGTGTGTGTTATTGGGAATGCTGTATGTTGTGTGGTTTGCGTTATGGTAGGTTTGCGGTACGCGTTGGTCTATGTTGTATGTGTTGTTTTGTCCTGCATTATTGGTTGTGTGTGTGTACGTGGTCGTATGCAGTGTGTTGTGTTGTCTCACGTTGGGTGTTGCCTGTGTGTGTGTGTGTGTTGTGTTGTGTTTGTGTTTGTCGTGTACGTGCGCGCGTGCTTCCAGATAGTTGTGTGCACATTATCCCGTTTGCCATTGTTCTAGGCAACTTTGAGCAGTCTCGTGTTCAACGATTGCTTTGCTTTTTGGCGACAAGGCCTGTGTCTTACTCTGCCTTGCCTGAGTCACTGACGTGACAAAGTTTGCATTGAATGTGTTTTCTGCAAAATTGGCCATGGGCTTGACACTACGGGAGGGTGGAACCCCTACCACGCGGGGTCAGCTTTGCAGAGTAGGCAGCCTAGGTGGAAAGACTGTCCCAAGCCGCAGTTCTGTTCCGAATGGTTGGTTTCATGCTCGTTGCTCTGAAGACATGGGCCGCCAGGTTTCACAGAGACACACAGACACGCTGGGCACTGTTGTTTGCAGCAATCACTTGCTTGGGTGCAGAATAAGCTCAAGCAGCCGGATTTCCAGTCAGGTCGTAGCGACTAGAACGGACTTTCCACGACATCCACTATGGATTCCCACGAGAAGTTTGGAAACATAGGTGTTCTTCTTGTCAGTCTGATTGACAGTTGACCGTTCTAGTTTCAGATTGATTCTCATCAGTTTCCCAGTGCCATCTATTTGCCCAAAAGGACACCCTAGCTGGCAGAGATGTGGTCTCAGGTTCTCGAAAAAGGAGTCCGAGGAGTTTCACAAGCTCTACGCTATGCACGACCGGGACGGATCAGGCACGAGGATGTCGCGAATTTCCCGTTGACCCAGTTCAGTGGCCCCTGCTTTCCCGTTTTGTTTGGTTCCGCAACGGGTGACAGGGTCGGGTGACTGAGCTCGTGGCAGCTTGCGGGGGTTCGAGTGTTCCTGTGCGAGGATTTGTTCAACCTGCCCTGTGGACTCTATGACCTGCTTGCGCGTGAAGCATGGCACCGGCAGAAACATGGGGGTGGCTTTTTGGAGGATGCCTTTTCTGCGATTGGTTTAAAGGGACACCAAAACAACACCTTCCATCTTGTGGGGGTGTCCCCTTTGCGTACATCTGAAATCCAGCACATTTGTGAGCGCCAGAGAGTTGGGTGCGTGGCAAGGTCGAGATAGGCACCAGCTGCGGATCACAACTGGTAGTCGGTTTGGCAGAAACCTGGGATTAGTTGATGAAAGGTTATGAGCTTGTTGAGTTAGTTCGATGCATTTTCAGAGTGCCCGAGTTGTCTAAAAACGGAATCCGACAGATACTAAAGTATGATCTTAGCGCCCCAAGATATTTTGAGATCTTCCGGTGGCATTGTTTTGAGGTGCTCTGAGTGTTATTTATGCTCAAGGTCTTCTACGACATGTTAATACGTTTTGACCTGCCATTGAATCAGGAACAAGCAAACAATGAGCTGGAAACTGGCCCTGCATATTGCAAAGGGAACGCATTAACTTGGGGAGCTGGGAGACAGTTATATGCGCTACGGCTTGACGATGCCGTGCCTGAAAGGGTGCATCATGAAACAAAACATGCCCAAACCGCGCGCACTTTCATTGTGAAGGTGTCACATCCGGTAAAGTCAGGAAATGCCTTCCCTTTATTGGTTGAGGTATACAGATATCAACATAGTACCAAAAGAAAGAGCGCAGGAGAGAAACCAGG